CATAGTCTCCATTTTGTGAAGGCAGAACATGCCCCAAAGAGGCAATAGCAGGAAAGGAAATAATAGCCATGTTCTCAGGAAAGTCCAGCTCAGATAGGAGTTGCATGCTGGCTTTGATGTTGAGTGCAAAGCTGCCTTCATAGATAGTAGACCCCCGGCTAAAGGGGACATGGAGATGCCTAAAGACTCGTGAGGAGAGAATGAAGGAAGAGACATTGGGGAGAGGACTAAGGGAGTAGCCAGGGGGGTATCCTAGTGCTGACTCCTTCTCCAGTCCACATTCTCTACCTTGCTCAGGAGGACTACTCCCTTGAGTGACAGAAGCCTATAAGGACAAAATAGTCTAACCATCTGGAGGCACTGCTCCATCCTGAGGCATCTAAGCCTGACATATGAGGACAGAGTGACCAGATTAACAATTGCAGGAGACAGACAGAAACAGTAGATTCCTGGAAGGTTGAAACAAATGGTCCAAGGTCAGACAGGGTCAAAAGCATCATCAGAAGCAGACCCAGAAAAAATAAATAAATAAAAAGACCTGCCTACTACCATAGAAGTTTGATCCACAAAGTCGGGAAATCTAGACGAATCAATTGAAGCAGAAGCAAAAAAAAAAAAAGACTCTCACAAATAATGGAAAGGAAAAAAAAATCCCCCCAAATGAGGGGAAAGGAGGAATCCCCACAGAGAACTAAATGAAATAGAGGCAGGTAAAATATCAGATATTGAATTCAAAACAATGTCTCTAAGGAATCTCAATAAGCTCAGCCAGCTCAAAGAGAACTATGAGAAACTGCAGGGAAACTATCAGGAACTTATGGCAAACTATATCAAACTGGAAAAGGACATAGAAACTATCAAGAATACACTAAAGTGAATGAAGACTACCATATCTGAGTTGAAGAACACGGTAGATGGACTCAAAAGCAGACTACATGAACCAGAGGATGGAATCAGTGACCTGGCAGACAAGTAGGAAAAAAAAAAAAAAACTCCCAGAAAGAACAAGAAATGGGGGGGGGGAGACTCAAAAAGAGCGAAGAGGCATTTAGGGAAATTCAGGACAACCTGAAATGCAATAATATCTGCATAATAGGGATACCAGAAGGAGAAGAAGAGGAGCAAGTGATAGAGAACCTGTTTGAAAAAGACATGATGGGAAACTTTCTCAATTTAGGAGAGAAAAGTTCTCATGGGTCCAGGAAACAAAAGGGCCCTATCAAGAGAAACCCAATTAGGTCCACTCCAAGACACATCATCATTAAAATGGCAAATATCAAAGACAAAGAAAGAATCCTAAAGGCAGCAAGGGAGAAACAGGTAGTAACATACAAGGGAGCCCTGATATGGCTAGCAACTGACTTCTCAACAGAAACACTGCAAGCCAGAAGGGAATGGCAAGAAATATCCCAAGTAATGAAAAGCAAGGGTCTACAACCAAGGCTGCTCTGCCCAGAAAGGCTCTCAATTAAAATAGAAGAGGAAATAAGGAGTTTCCCAGACAAAAGAAAACTAAAAAATATATCACCACCACTACAAGACATGCTAAAGGAACTGGTTTAAGAAGATGAAGGAAAAGAGTAAGAATGAAAAAAAAAACACACAAGTACAAAGAGAAAAATGAATATTTTTATCAATAATAACTCTCAATGTAAACGGACTAAATATCCCAATCAAAAGACACAGGAGAGCTCAGTGGATAAGAAAACATGACCCACACATATGCTGCCTACAAGAGACCCACCTCAGAGCAAAAAACCTACACAGATTGAAAATAAAGGGATGGAAAAAAAAAATTACAAGCAAATGGGCAAGAAAAGAAATCAGGTGTAGCAATACTTATATCGGACAAAATATATTTCAAAACCAAGACCATAAAAAGAGACCCAGAGGGACACTTTATACTTAAAGGAATAATCCTTAAATAAGACATAAACATTATAATCTTATATGCACACAATGTAGGACACAAAGCGAGCCTCAGCAAGTTCAGGACAATTGAAATAATACCAAGCATTTTCTGAGACCACAAGGGCTTGAAACTGGAAATCAATTTAAAAGAGAAACCTCAAACTTGCAAACTCATGGAGACTGAAGAGTACACTATTAAACAATGAATTGGTCAATAATGAGATAAGAGAAGAAATCAAAAAGTTTCTGGAAACAAAGAAAAATGAACATACAACAGTCTAAAACATATAGGGCACAGCAAAAGCAGTCCTGAGAGGAAAGTTTATAGTAATACAGACCTACCTAATAAAGATAGAAACATTTCAAATAAAAGACCTAACACTACAACTTTAAGAACTGGAGAAAAAATAACAAATAAATTCCACAGGAAGTAGAAGGAAGGAAATAATCCAGATCAGAGCAGAAATGAATGACATAGAGACTGAAAGAACAATTCAAAGGATCAATAAATCCAAGAGCTGGTTCTCTGAAAAGATAAATGAAATTCACAAGCCTTTAAGTAGACTCATCAAGAAAAAAAAAAAAAAAAAAAGGAGAGGGCCCAAATAAATAATATCAGAAATGAAAGAGGAGAGATTTATAATTAAAACTCTGAGAAAAATGGCAATAAATGAGACATACCTTAATGTGATAAAGGTCATATATGGAAAACCTAAAGCCAATATCATAACAGGCAAAAACAAAAAGCTTTCCCACTAAGATAGGGAACACAAGAATGTCCACTTTCACCACTTTTATTCAACATGTTATTGAAAGTCTTAGCCACAGTGACCAGACAAGAAAAAGAAATAAAAATCATCCAAATAAGAAAGGAGGAAGTAAAACTATCATCATTGGCAGACGACATGGTAGTGTACATACAAAACTCTGTAGACTCCACCAAAAAACTCCTCAACTTAATAAGTGAATTTGGCAAAACAGCAGGATACAAAGTCAATATTCACAAATCAAAGGTATTTTTGTACACCAGCAATGAAATAGAAGAAGAAATCAGAAAAATAAAAAAATCATTTGATATAGCAAGAAGAAAAATAAAGTGCGTAGAAATAAATTTAATCGAGGTAAAAGACCTGTATGCAGAAAACTATACAACATTGAAGAAAGAAATGAAGGAAGACACAAATAAATGGAAGCATATACCATACTCATAGATTGGAACAATTATCATCAAAATGTCTATACTACCCAAAGCAATTTATAGATTCAATGCAATCCCTATTAAAGTACCAATGACATATTTCACAGAAACAGAACAGACATTTCACAAATTTGTATGGAACTATAAATGACCCCGGATAGCAGCAGCAATTTTTAGAAAGAAAAACAAAGTAGGAGAGATCACAATACTGGACATAAAACTACATTACAAAGCCACTATACTGAAAACAATCTTGTACTGGCAGAAGAACAAATACATAGACCAGTGGAACAAAATAGAAAGCCCAGAAACCAGCCTAGGTCTACATGGTCAATTAATATTTGACAGAAGGAGCAGAAGCATAAAGTGGAGTAATAATAGCCTCTTCAACAAATGGTATTGGGACAACTGGACAGCTACATGCAAAAAAGTTGAAATTTCATCATCATCTAACACCATGCATAAAAATAAACTCAAGATGGATAAAAAACTTAAACATAAGTCACAACACGATAAAATTCCTAGAGGAAAACATTGGCAGGAAACCCTCAGATATCCCATGCAACGTTTTTTTTTTTTTTTCACTGATATATCCCCTAAAGCAAGGGACATAAAAGAAAGTATAAACAAGTGGGACCTCATCAAAATAAGCAGCTTCTGCACGGCTAAAGAAAACATCAGCAAAATGAAAAGGGAGCCAACTGTATGGGAAATATATATTTGCTAATGATACATCAGCTTGAGGTTTGATCTCCAAAATATATAAAGAACTCACATGACTCCACTTCAAGAAGACAAATCATCCAATCAAAAAATGTACAAAGGACCTGGTCAGATGCTTTTCTAAGGAAGAGATACAGAGAGTCCAGAGACATTTTAAATAATGATCAGTATCACTAGCTATTTGAGAAATGCAGATCAAAGCCACAATGAGATACCACATCACGCTGATCAGAATGGCCATCACAAACAGATCAACAAACAACAGGTGCTGGCGAGGCTGTGGAGAAAAGGGAATACTAGGCCACTGCTGGTGAGAATGCAGACTGGTGCAGCCATTGTGGAAAGCAGTGTGGAATTTCCTCAAAAAGCTGAAAATGGAAGTGCCTTTTGATCCAGTGATTCCCCTGCTGGGACTATACCCTAAGAACACCAAAACGCCAATGCAAAAGAACCTATGCACCCCAATGTTCATAACAGCACAAATTACAATAGCCAAGTGTTGGAAGCAACCTAAGTGTCCATCAGTAGATGATCGGATCAAAAAACTATGATACATTTACTCAATGGAATGCTATGCAGCAGAAAGAAAAAAAAAGAACTACTATACTGTATGACAACATGGATGGAACTAGAGAACATTATGGTAATCGAAATAAGCCAGGAGCAAAAGACAAATACCATATGACCTCACCTATAAGCAGAACTTAACCAACAAAACAAAGAGTCAAGGAAAATTAGACCCACAACACTGAGAGAGAAAAAAAAATAAAACAAGAGAGACAAGAAGAAAGGAGGAAGAGGTGGACAGGGAAATGGTAGGGAAGGGTCAAGTCAAGGAACATATAGCAAGGACTCATGGACAATGCCAAAGTGTGGGAGGAAGACAGAGAGGGGGAGGAGGGCATGGGAAAGTGATGGGGAGAAGGCAGAGGCAAATATATTTGAAAAATAAATAAACACATAAATTTAAAAAATCAGAGTAAGATTTGCTGAAGAGAGAGAGGAAAAACCAAAATGAAAAACAAAACTAAACAAACAAAAATAACACCTTTAGTTCCTCTTGGGTTTCACGCTCTCCATTTTGGGTCCTGAGCTCCCCCTGGTGTCCTGGGTGCCCTCTATATCCCAGACTCCTGGCTCCTGCAGGAAGGTTTCTGTCTGGGCTCACAATGAGTTCCCCTCGCTGTGTCTCTAGTACAGTAATACACGGCCGTGTCTTCCGGTTTCAGGTTGGTCATTTTGAGAGAAACTGTGTTGGTCGGGTTGTCTCTGGAGATTGTGAATCTTCCTTGAACTGATGGAGCATACCATTGACTTGATCCAGTTGGTTGACTCACTGTTGCCACCCACTCCAGCCCCTTCCCTGCAGCCTGGCGGACCCAGTTCATGCTGTAGTCAGTGAAGGTGAATCCAGAGGCTTTACAGGAGAGGGTCAGTTGCCCTCCAGGCTTCACCAAGCCTCCTCCAGACTCCACCAGCTGAACTTGGGACAGGGAACCTACAAAGAGAGAAAGAGACTGTGAGAACAGTCCCTGAGAAGCACTCTCCACTGACCCTCCTGAAAAAGGACTCACCGTTGACAGCGATGAGAAGAAAAGCCCAAAAGAGTGCGGACCCCATGGTGTGGGCTCTGAGGACTGACGTGCTCACACGAGAGACTCCTCCCAGTGTTGTGCAGGGACAGAAAGTGAGCTGGTTTTCTTGGGTAGGGGAGGGGCTGCATTTGCATGTCTTTCCTTTGGGGTCAAGTCTTAGCCTCACAGCAGGGTTCCTCCTCCCTTTCTTGGATGCCCATGGGAGGGCAGGCGGAAAGGAATGTTTGTGCCTGGACACGGGGACTCTGTGGGTCTGGGTGTCCAAGCAGATATTTTGTAAATAGCGATAGACACACAACAAAGGAATTAAAATTCTATATTAAAATCTCCAGCGCAGGTTACAAGTAAAACCACCCACCAGATCTTGACACAGGTTTGTGAAGGCAATAGAGCCCTCTAGTGGTGAGTCAGTTCCACAGGGGTTTTGAACCTTGTCCAGACCAGCATCTTGCCAGGCCCACTTTCTGTAGCAGGACAGTTGTCCCTAACATGTTTGAAGTGGTGGTAGCCCCAATCTTGTTTCTTTGTTATACACAGGTGAGTCTCCACAGGGACACCCTCATTTTAAAGACTCTAACCTTGGGAGAAAACCTATGATGTATAAGTCCTTCTCAGCACCTGGAGTAGAGACATACTGTGCCAGGTCCTGGGCTCACAGGTTGATGATGTCTATCACCTGCTCTACTGACCACAATCACACATCCCAGCGTCCATCATGTAACATACCAGGGACAATTGAACTCTGTGGGGCGACCCTTCATGACTGTCATCAGTTGAGGTGCAGAGAGAATACTGAGCACAGGCACACACTCACAATCTACAAGAGAAGTTCCCTGCCCAGGCACCAGGCCCTGTTACTGCAGCCACTGGGAGCTGCTCTGCTGAGATCCATGGTCGCTGAGTTACAGGACTGTGCCTGTGGTCATGTGAATAAGTACAATGAAGAGAACAACACAGCCCTGTCCTCCTCAGGCTGGGGCATGGAAGATATGGCTTCACCAGTTGTGTTACTATCTGAGAAATAGATGGGATTGCAGGGGCAGCTTGACATGTAAACTCCATAGAAGGGTGGCAACTCCATTAGATGTGTTCAACACTGTTGTTAATATCATTACCTGCCTTGAAGGTTTGAAACTCCTCTGCGAGGTCTCATATCTGTTTACATGATGAACGCCTTCTCCAGTTCTGGCATGTCTTACCTGGGACAGATCACCCACCATAACCCCAGCATCCTCACTACTACATTGAGTAATTTAAATCCATTTGTTTTATGTCCAAAGACACTTTTTCCCATTTCCTTTAATGAACCAAGCCTTGAATACAAAATAATGCCACCTGGGCTTTCAATAATATTTTGGATGAATTAAATCATAACTCTTACTTACCTGGCTGTAGGTTATTGAAGAGTCACCAGAAGTTGGAGGAATATCTCCAGAACCAAAATCTGAGCCCCTTTTCTAGAATCTTAAAATGTGGCCTGACCTGTTACAGGCCAGCAGAGAGGAAGAGACAGACCCTGACATTCAGAACCAGGTGAGTTCCACATTCATCAGGTGGTCTCTGGCTCCTTGGTTTGGGCAGATGTACATGGGCCCATCCTAGTAATAGGGAGAATATGAGCCTGGAATGGAAGCTGGTCCACATTGTAGCTCATCCTGGAGCAAATATATTACGTGTGCATATGTGTAAGTGGCTTTAGATAGGTTACTCAGTTGTGCTGATGCCTAGGATAGAAAAAGTTAGGTCTACCTGTAGAAAAACAGCTATGACATTTTGGACAGTAAAAACAACCAGAGGGAAATTAAAAGTGTAGGAGGTTAAAGTTCATTAGATGGGAAGTTCTATCTGACACTATTGACCATACAAAGTGATCAGAGTAAGAACTAAGAGCAGAGTGTGACCCTAGAGCACATTGATTCATTGATAAGGAAGTTGAACGGCTCTGTGGATCCTTGGGAGGCAGAAGTGTGAACTCTGCAGACAGGCAGTAAGAACTCACAGATTATGCTTTCTCAGCGGAGTTTCGTGCTGAATTTTCAGCAAATTCATTACCTCATATGTGTTTTAATACTTTAGGCTCTGTGTAAAAACAACTTCAAACATTGTTGAAACAGAAGAAACTCAGATGTGGGTAGAGATCAAGGAGTAAGCATCTTTAAATGACAGACTTGATTCTGAAAAATCTTGATACAGATCACCAACATAAAATAACAGACGAAAATTAAATCATTATTGATATGAAAGGCATTATGTTTTATCAATTGATTAAACAGGATGAATAATCATTCACATAGTCTCCCTATTACCAGAGCTGGCTGATATAGCTTCATATAACACTGTTCATTCTTGGTAGTTCAGTCTTAGGTTCCACATCAGGATCTGGGTCTATGTGGATGTGTGGCAAAACTGTCATTAGAGAGCAGAGGAGAGAGTGTGCTGGGCTCCATGGTTTGTCATCAGTTAATTTCAAAAGAACCATCTCCTTACTCTCACAGCCCCTGTTCAGGTCTGCACTGGACACTTCAGAGTGTTGTCATGATGCCCCCCTCCACCATGATGGGCATCCACTGAACTGGGACCCGATGCATGGAATGTATCAATTTGCAAATATGAAAAGGACCTGTGTACACAGAGCTTTACCACACCTGAACTGACTCACATATAGGAGTGGATTACTGTGACCTGTTGTATGATCAGCCGCTTCCGGTCCTTAGTTCTGCTTGGCATCCTTGTCTCCCTGGGTGTGCCTAGCTGCCCTGGACTCCTGAGTACTCTTTCAGTCCTGAGCTCCCATGTCATTCTCAACACCCCGCATGTTTTTCATGACCCTGGTGTCCTAACCACCCCTAATTTCCTGAGTGCCTTCTTGTGTCCTGAGTGTCTGTTGTTGCCTGAGTGCCCAGCCTTCTTGTTTCCTGCAAAGAACTTTGTTTCTGGAATCATGCTGAGTTCTCTTATTTGTTTCTCTCTTGCAGTGATAAACAGGGGTGTCCTCGGTGGTCACAGAGCTGAGATGTACAGAGAGCTGGTTCTTGGATGTGTCTCTGAAGATGAAGGTGCAGTCTTGAAGGAAGGACTATAGAATTTGTTCCAGTTTCAATATATGCAGTCCATCCAATCCAGACGTTTCCTAGAGCCTGTCAGAGACAGTGAAAATTAAAGCTGGTGAAAGGGAACCCAGACACAGTTAAGGTGAGGGAGAAAAGTCTTAGAGGACTTCACTAGGCATGGGCCCAACTTCTGTGGCTGCACCTGAGACAGGACACCTGGGGAGAAGGAACATCCATCCCAGTCAGTCACATGCTATAACCTCTATCCCATACATACATGCCTGACACCTGAGACACTCAACTTGAGGGTGTGTCACAGGTCAGGAGGAGGCTCAGAGTATCATGTTTTTCTAGAGCACAACTCTGCCTTTCCCAGAGACCTCAGCCCTTTGTGGGGAGAAAGCTGTGTTCCCCTACTCCTCTGTGGATTTACCCTGGACCTGGGAGGGAAATCTGCATACGAGGCAGTCTTTCCCATAAAACTGGCACACACTAATGTTAGGAACCCTAGTAATTCTTGACCTCTGTGAGTAGATCTCTTCCCTTGACCTCAGTTGTCATGTAAGTCAGGGATAGGGGATCCCTTGGTTTATGGGGCATTTTGGAATCAGTTTAAAGGACGACCTCAACTTTCTGAGCATACGAAGAAATGGTGGGCTAGAGGAGTAGGTGACACTTTAAAATTCTCATGCATCTTTCAAAAAGATTTAAAATGGCTTATTGAAATTTTGTAGGCATTTCCTATATCACAAAACTGAAATATAGGCAGTTTCCTAAATTTGCATCATGATATAAATATAAATAATGTCTACTATGGCATAAAAAATGCAAGGCTAATTTCAATATAATTTTTAATATTTGTGTCATTATTTTGTTCTGAGAAATTTCTCCCAAGCACAGGGAGGTGGGGAACTATTGATCCATGATGTGGAAAGTTTCACAATTGTGTTTGCAGCTCCCTGTGCAAACTCCTCCCTTATGTGAACCCAGGGCACATTTCAGTTTCTCTGAAGTAATCACATCAGAGATGATCACATTTTACCATGGAGAAAAGACTAGAAATGTGAATAGTAATTATGTATGTGGACAACTCAAAGTCTTCATATGTTGAAATAATTATGGCAGTGGATTAACTGACTTGTTTTCTTAGTCTAGTGTTTGCTATGGTGGGCAGTACACAGGCTGTGAGGAATTTAAAAAGAGAAGAAAATCCAGACAGCAAATTATTCACTTTCCAAGTGAGCAGAGAGGCTTAATTGTGGAGAGATACACCAGAAGAAAGGTGTAATGGCCTGGAGTTTTTATTGGATTGTAAGAGAGTGGGGACAGCTGCATATATGTGGCCAGTGGGAGTGGGCTGTGAGGGGCATTGCAACACAGGAGGTGTTGCTTGGTTTTCAATAAGTTGAAGTTTGCTTGAACATTAAATTTTGTGTGTGGTTGTGGGTCAGTCAGTCAGGCTGTCTTTGATTTTCTAATAGATTCCAAGTTGTCGGGAGACAATTTCAGAGAGTAAAATGACAGTCATGTTTAACAAGATCATGGCCCTCTAGTCACAAGGTGCCATGATAACAAATGACATAATCTTCGTGCTTTCAGTTTTATCAGTGATGTTGGGGTTAAGAGTGAGGAAAATGAGTAGAATGCCTAGGATAGATTTGCTCACAAGACAGGGAACCTCAACCCTGATAGGAAAAATTCACTCCCAGCCTCCCTCATCCCTGTTCTGGGAATGGCCACTTTGGTCAGAAGATGCTGGGCTCTCTGATACAGCATATAACCATCTTAATATGTAGTAAACACCATCTCCCTTCAGATAGATGATGTGGAAATATAGTCATCATTTCACACTAGTTTTTTCAGTGGTTTAATTGATCTTTCTTGGGGCAGATTTATTTAATTTTAAAAAAAGTTTAAGGTATCAATGATTGAATTTATTGTCTATAGGTGGGTTTTACAAGAAACACTTCCCAGAAATTGGTCAGCCTCGATTGCCCATGCTCCTTGGTTAGAGAATCCATA